AGCAGAGAGCTCAGCACACATCCCTGGGGGGCACCGATGTTCAGGATGCATGAGGGGGACAGGTGATTCCCCACTCGAACCACCCACCTGCACAGGGAGGAGGTGAGTCCAAGTTCCTTCAGCTTAGTGACCAGTCTGGAGGGGATTATGGTGTTGAACGCTGAACTGAAGTCCACGAACAGCATTCGCACATAATTGCCTTTCCTAGTGTCCAGGTGGGGCCAGGACTATGTGTAGCAGTTGATTTGTGGTGTTGTCTGTGGATGTGTTTGGCCTGTTTGTGAACTGTAGGGGTTCCAGGGAGACAGGTAGGGAGGAGGGTCGCGCATGCCTTTGTTCATCCATGGCTTCTAAATGGGAAACTCCATGATGGTTCTTTTGGAGATAGTGTCCTCCACTAGTTTCCCAGTAAATGACTTGCCAAATGTTGGTTGTGTCTTTGCTGCATAGCCGTCTCTGAAGGGAGAATAACAGTGGTCCAGAGTTCTGTCTCCTCTGGTGGGGAGGGCGATGTGCTGGCGAAGTTCTGGCATCACCCTCCTCAGGTTGGCACTGTTAAAATCCCCGGCCACAATGAGGGCTGCCTCCTGGTGGTTAGCCTGGTAGCTGGAGATAGCCTCACCTAGCTCAGCTAATGCAGCGTCCGTGTCTGCCTGCAGGTGGATGTAGACAGCGCTGAAAATAACGGAGGTGAGTGGTGTGGTAGGGGTCAGCCATGTCTCCGTGAGGCAGATGATACTGCAGTCTCTTGTGTCCTTCCAGTACCTGATCCTGGCTCTGAGCTCGTCCAGCTTGTTGTCCAGGGACTGGACGTTTGCGAGCAGGATGCTAGGCAGTGGTGGTTGGTGTGCTCGTAGCCTCAACCTGTTCCTAATGCTGGCACATTTCCCCCAGGGCCTGTTACGCTGCCGGCATCCTGTGTCGTTGTTGTTGGGGGGAGGGGCCCCGCAGGATCTCGCTGGGCCAGGATGCATTGGCAGAAAAACTGTTGTACTGTGGTAATAAGCCAATATTCACCAGTGTGTCTCTGTTGTATTTGATACGATGAGGACACAGCATGGTGAATGTCGTGCAAAAAGATAAATAAAAGCAAAAGGATAAATAAAAGCTATTTAAAAAGTTGCAACGGTGGAGGAGCAGCTACGATGGCTGCCGCACTCACCAGCGCCATATCTTGTTTCTTTTTTTTTTTCTAGAAGAGTGCTTTCACCACTGCATCGTGCTTTACATAAATCCCCAAATAAATCCTCAAATGTGTTCATTTCACACACTTTGTGGTACATGTATTTGTCGTGAGGTCCACCTAATATAAATACTGAAACTGGGAGTATTTTGTGCAGCCACCATTTTGGCATTTTATCCTCACTGTGATAAAAGGCCTGGGGAAAAGTTTGTCTTTCATGTTGTCTCCATGCTCAACAACTTCAACCAGCATCTAAAACTTGGAAGAAACCCACAGTGTATCTTTGCAGCTGGCCGGCTTAATCAGTCCATCTAAGCCCTGTAACACAGAAGTACAGTCCAGCTTCACTGGTCCTATTTACTCTTTACATCTAAGTGCAGTGTTACGCTTTCATTTGTGTTTAGCCACACATTATGCATCAGGCATCTGACTGCAATCCATCTGTGTTTTTCATGGTTACATGCAAATCAGCATAAGCTCCAGTTCAGCCCAGAGGGTGAGGGTAATGTAGATGCAGCTGTTAGCCACTGAAAAAGCATAAATTTTCTTATCGTCTCTCTGGGGAGATGTTGGGTTTGCTGTGGTTTCAGAAAGATAAAGAAGGAATTGATTAAAAATGAATCATATTAATAACATATGAGTAATACAAATGTTTAAAAATCTTCACAGGCTATTCTCACTCACGAATACATTTTTTTGAAGCGATCAGGGGTCATTATAACAGCTCATGTTGACTTTCTTGCATGATACTCAATACAACAGAACTGAGCACAGCCTGGTACAATATCATTTGATTGTCAAATGCTTTAAGAAATGTATCCCGTTACAGTAATTACATTGCATCTGAGTTGCACAATAACAGAGTTGCTCTCTTACAGAGATTTAAAACCTAACATTTTAGATTGACTTTGTTGAAAATACACACCCCACAGTAGGATTTTAACACTGGGATTTGAAGATATCAAGGTTGCACAATTTTTGTTTTGAGATGTTCTGCCATCATTTGGAGACTATTTTTATTCAGCTGCTCTTTGCTGGACAGGTTGTGTTGCAAGAGTTTTTTCTTGAGTGCTGTCCATAGAGGTTTCAGTTGTCAATATGAGGAAATATTCAGATTTTAATCCTTTAACATTTAAGAGGTGTTGCACAGGAGTGTACTCACTTCTCTTCTATACTGCATGTGTAGGAATTGTTGAAATTGCTATTTCCCTGTTGCTAATTTCAGATTTACTTTAGCTGCCCTTTACACAGGACAGAGATGTTATCACAGATGGCTGGCAGAGGTAGTTACACTTGGGGGAGTGAAGCTTATGTATACATTTGAAGAAACCACCATTACACCAGATGGTGTGAACAAGCGGATTTCAATTCATCTTCTCAGAATGCATTTATGCATTTCTGATTGCTGTTCTATCCAAAGCACAAAATGACTAGATGTAACTCGGATCACTGTATCTGCTCTGCTTCGTCTCTTAATTCTTTTTTCTAATGTGTTTTGTTTCGTTTGTGCTTTTACAGTCATTTACATGCTGGAGCTGGATGGACAGGCGTGGGCGCTGTGAGCAATGGTGGCATGGTGGAGCCCGGGCAGGGCGTCAACGGGACGGTGCTAACCAACCAGGCTGGCATGAGCACTGCTGGCTACCACACCCACTGATCACAGTAGCCCTCTCTCTAAGCCTGCGAGGCCACAAGGATGATACTCTGCCGGGGAAGGAGTGCATTAGATGTGCTCTGTTTGTCACCTCACAACAATACTCTGTTAGTGAAGCTGGTACGTCATTTTATCAACCTTACCAGCCCAAAACGTCACCCACTGCCCAAATCTGCAAGTGTAAAGATAATTATCCACACTTTAACACTGTTAAAGCTACCGCTAATGCACCTTGCATTCCTGGGCCCATTTTATTGTTTGGTATATTACTGGCCAAATGTAAATTATACAACATGTCAAGATATTTCTAGCACAGCCACAGTTTAGTTTAAAAGGAACAGTGAATTAAATCTATATTAAAACAGCAGCTTTTGTTTGTTTTCAGCCCCTCAGAGCCAAAGAGCAAGGGCAGAATTTTATACCAATATTTAACAATCATACAGGGAGAAGAGGCTACGAACTTTGCCACAGAAAGCACTCAATAGTCCACAGTATTGCAGCGCAACCACGAGATGTGTATCGAGCAAGGGGTTTTTATTTTCTCTCAGTTGGAGCCTGTTGACCTCACTGTCGGTATGTTCACCGGTTGCTAAAGTGAAACGCGAGTCTGAGCGAGTCCTCAGGGCGTCCTCAAGTCATTCTGTGAAATGTAGGGAATCACTGAGTAGAAGAAGTTGGCAGGTTGAGGGAAATTCAACAAAACAAACAAATTTCAGTGCTCCTTCACTTCATCTCCCAGACCGGACTGATAGACGGAGAATCCCGTCTGCGGATAAGAAATGTGTGTGTGCTTACGTGTGTGCATGAACTGATGCTTTTACACACAAGACAATGTCCAAGTCATCTTCCCCTGAAACAGAAAGGACTACGCCATCAGTTTTTTTTTTTGTTTTTGTTTTTTTTTTTTGCTACAAATATAATAGACGAAGTGTCATTTTCTTTCTTGTTTTTGAGCAACTTTAAAATGCTGACATTGTATAAAGAGCTTTTGCCTTTTTGTGTTTCATTTTGGAACTGTCTTATAAAGAAATGTTGAAGTGACACCATCAAAGTATGTGACACGCGAGATCCTTTGTTTATAAAACTTTTAAGTGGCTGTCATATGTCAACTTTATTTTTCAAATTAGAGTATCTCAAATAAACCAATTGCAGGGATTACTGCCACTCTTATCTTACTTATAGGCAGACAAATATTGCACAAATACTTAAGGTTTTCACAAAATTTGAAATACTAGGGTTTTTTTTTTTTTCAATGTTTTTGCATTCCACTTTATTTGTGATTTCATTTGGAAGTCTGTTTTATGTAAATAACCAAACAGTCTGTTCAATTGTACTGATCTGTATAAAGACAACATGTTAATTAAGGAAGCGTGCTTGCTCCTGGTTGGGAAATGGATTCCAGACAAGGCTGTTTGACAGTAGCATCCCTGTCCAGTGCTGGTCCGTGTACAGTAGAGACAGTGCAGCATTTCATTCTTCAAGACGTTTGGAGGACACGCAGCGTTGCTATGCAATGCAACAGCCTTTAGATTGACAAGTAACTCATAATTTAAGTTATTCTATTTTAGACCTACATAACGATTGTTTTTATAGATTAAGAAACAACCTTCTTAAGAATCAGATTTTTGCACTGTGGCCACCCTCATTTTAATATAGTTGAAAAATCCATTGTGTTGCCTTACTATCAGTGAGTTACTTTTTATTTAACCAAAAATCATCCGAGAGTAGGCAGTGCCTAAGAATGTTTTCAGCCAGTGTTTTGGCAACGGAAAGTTCTGTTGATGCTTTAGTAACATGGTTTGTGTTTTTGCTTTGTCCCATTAAAATGCTGATGCTTCAAACAGCTCACATTCACAGTGTTTGCATCTGATCTTTGAAACCACAGCTGCATAAAGTGAGCTCACAAAATAAGTCAGGCTTTTATTAGTTAGTCTGGCTTACTTTCAGAGTATTTCGGTTTCACAAAGCAAGTTCAACATATTTGAAGTTCAGTTACTTTGGCAGTTCATGTTCAGAAACTAACCTGATCCAGGACAGGCTCACTGTCAGGCTGAAGCATGCATGATTGTTTAATCAGACTGCCTGTGACACTGATCTGACAGGAAAGCCAAGATATTTCTCCTGGCTCTGGTGTGGGATACCACATTCTATCCAGCCATTATCTATACACTGCTTTATCCTCTGTAGGGTTGCAGGAGGGGGGGCTGGAGTCTATCCCAGCTGACTTATGGTGGAGGCAGGGTACATCCTGGACGGGTCACCAGTCTATCGCAGAGCTACACAGAGACAAACAACCTACAGACAATTTAAAATCATCAATTACACAGAGAGAGACTGGAATTGAACCCAGGACCTTCTAGCTGTGAGGCGAAAGTGCTAAGCACTGCTCAAGTGTACCTTCTATGATATTTTCTTATACTTTATTTTCCAGTATCAGTTCAAAAACTGTAAGCCTGCAGAAAATCTAATAAATTACACAATAAGATCTAGACCTCTATATATATATTCAGTTATGTGATAAATGTTTAAACTTCTGCTACTGAGAATCAATGTCCATCTAGATTGTCCAAATATATATATATATATATATATATATATGATATTTTTTGTCATTGCTATTGCTGTTATTTATAGCTATTCCTGTTATTAAGAATATGAGTTATAAGAACAAGAAAACAGATGCTGCCTACAGTGTATCTAAAAAAAAAAAGGTTCTACAAAACAATGTTTTATGACACTGCCCCAACACACATTGATGGTAATGGCAAAAACAGCATGCAAGATGGCATCTTTGTGTTAATTAGTAAATAGTTGTTCACATGCATGAATTATACATTGATAACTACATAATTTTTTTGATCAGTGATGATGAAAATACTGACAAATAGACATCCATGGCCAAAATAGCGCACTGTCAATATTTTGGAGACCCTACAAAAGTTCACAAATCATAGTTCCAGATAAGATCATGTCTTAATATCTGGGAATATTCTATGTATTAAGCTGCATCTAAAAAGTATGTTTTGTTTTGTGTGAATAAATATATCTTTAGTGGTGCTAGTAGCCAATATGCCAAAGTTTAGCACATTTAGCTGGTACAGGAGTTCACTTTAAGCCCTATTCACATATGAGGTATGGAACATTGTTGGCTTTATCAATCTGTTAAATTGATGGAATTCTGTCATTCAGACAGAGGCCACATGTTCCTCAGTGCTTAATTCAGACAAACTAACCACAGTAATGGAGAGAGCTACAGTGCGCACACAATATTTGTCTTTCACACAAGATTAGACAATATACCCAGTGACGTATAGTAGGCAATAATTCTAACTTAAAAATAACTAGCAGCTGAATTTATTTCAGATTTTTTAAACAGTGGAAGTGAAAAATCAGGATTTAACCTGAGGATGGCCATGATGTAACAAGATATTTAACTGCAGCAGATAAACAGTGATTGTATGACAGCTCACCAGATGGAGGTGAAGACAAATAAACAGTGTAACTTGCCTTTAGATCCTGACCAATCCTTTCTTCATGTCAGAGATCATTTATAATTAGAACTACTTAATGAAGTTACTGCTGTTGCTCCATTCCTAAATGCACATAGCTCTTATTCTTTGGAGACACTTGTGGATCCTTCGGCTGTCTAATGCTCTGGGTATGCAGTACAGTAAGTGGAAATAGTAAGTAAGTGTGCGACCTGTTTGATGTGAAGAAAAATACACAATGTGACCAGCTGTCGGATTCTAGGCTGGACTGATCAGTTCTCCACAGTCTCTTGGGAATAATGTATAATCATAAGAATTCAATGAAGTTACCAGAAGATGTGCATGTTTCTGTTTGGAGACGGACATATGGATCCTCCTGCTGCCTGATGCTGCAGGCCTTTAGTAATAACCTTAGAGGGAATTGTTTTAAACAGCTGGTAGCAACAAACTCCAGCTCCTGTTATCTATCAATATTCTTAACTGTTGGTGTCTGTTGGTGTCTTCAATATTTTTGAAAGCAGGCCAACAGCCCTAATTAAATGCAGTTTGCTAAAAAAAAAAAGAAAAGAAAAGAAAAAAAAAGTCCTTTACTATTTAAAGTACTAACCTACAATTAAAATGTGAGTTTCTTTTCATGAGTAAATAGCAAGTCCTTAGCCTTGCTAGAGCCCACATGCTAAAGTTTAGTACATTACCTGGTTTAACAGTGACCATCATAGTTAGCATGCTAACATTTTCTAATAACTGTGACGCTAATTAAATACTAAAATAGCCCTAAACAAACACAGCTCACGACAAAAATGTTATTATAATTACCTGACGCATTGACCTGTATCTAGAATGTGTGTTTTATTTTATATTAGGTTCATCAATGACAAGAAAACTCTACGGAAAGTCGTCGACAGTTTAAGTCAACTACAGCTCCCATGATTCAACGCGCCTGGAAAGGCCGCCCCCTTTTTACCCACGTGATCGTCTCTGGCCAATGGAGAGTGTCGTTACAGGCGCAATGCGGTTGTCGGGATGTAAGGAGGAATGGCGACGGTCGAGAGGGTTTTGGAGGCCAGAGCGGAGCTGGATTTGACCAACAGAGGCGGATTAGAGGTAGTTTGAACGTTTGCTTGGAAAACACACAGAGAAAGACCGTGTGTGAGACAGTTGGTATGTTACAGCGAGCTGGTGCAGCACTTAAGCAGATGAATGATACAGTTGAAGCAGAAACATTGAAACTGTTGTGAAATTAATAAGCCAGTGCCATTTAATTTAAAGTTTATTAATGTAAAATAACAACAATGCAATAGGGCGTTTTGCTGATAGTATGCAGAGTTATTGTCCAGCAATTTCAGCAGATATTTATGTTTTATTTTCCTTCTTTGTCAAGGCTTGAATCCCCTCATATCCAACAAAACTCCTGAAATGGACACTGAGGTGACAGCGTCCTCCTCATCGAGCATTGTCTCATCCTCCGTTCCGCAGACTTCGACCGGTCAGGCCAGCCTGGCAGCAAAACAGCGAGACAGCAGAAAGGCCACAACTCCTGCCTTCCTGTCCAACTTGGGCCGGGCCACCCTGCGGGGCATTCGCAAATGCCCTCAGTGCGGCATCTACAATGGCACCCGTGGCCTCAGCTGCAAGAACAAAGCCTGCGGGGTGTCACTGAGAAATGCCTCAGCGGCAGGCCGAAGCAACAAGAAGTGTGCGGTGGAGGTGGTGAAGGTGATCATTGACAGCGAGGAGAGAGGAGTGAAGGAGCCCGAGGGAGGAGGGGGAGTCCTGGGCGGTGGCTCAGGTGGGGGAGCACAGGTGTTTTCAGTGTGCCACAGAGGAAGAGGGGCCACGGCGACACAGTGGGGCTTCGTTGAGCTCGTTCCCACTGATACTGCCATAGCAACTACGGACGGGGCCACCCTGCTCACCTGCATTAATTTGGGCCGCTGTTTTTTGCCCTCTTGTAGGCAGGGTCAAAGGTCAAATCAAGGCGAGCCAGAGTCGGCGGCGGCGGTCAAGCAGTCCTCCGACAGCCTGTGCATCCACATCAAGCAAGCCATCGAATGTCGGAACCGTGCGACGCCGCTGACCTTAAAGAGCTCCATCCTGGAGGGCTTGCAGGCCTCCATTCAAGCCAGAGAGGAGCTGTGGAGGCTGGCCACGGAGTCTCCTGGGCCCCTGGTGCAGCGTGTCTCCAAAGACACCCTGGTGGTGAAGTGCCACACAGACTCCCACCATCCTCTGGGCCTGCTGCATCTCACTGTGGGTGCAGGGGGGCTGTCCGAGGCCTTAAAGAGTGACAAAAGTGTTTTTCATTGCGCCTGCCAGGTCAGCACAAAAAGAAACAAACCTGATGGAGCAGGTGGGTCGGTCAGCTCTCACCCTTCTCCCAGCTCAGCCACATCCCAGCCCTGCCTTCACTTCTACGCCTGCGTGTGTGCCTTCGCAAGTGACGAGAAGCTGGCGTCCGAGTTTGCAGCTTTCATCAACTTCACCTCCAGCGGTACAAGAACCACGGCCTGTTTCTTATGACCATTTCAAACTGCTTTAAAGGGCCCAGACAGCAAACCAGTGTTGCTACGTATTGTCAGACAAAAATAGCTGGTTTAGCTGTTTGCCCTCGAACCAAAGTTTAGGTTATTTAGTTTAACACAAAGCAAGTTGGATGCATGAACACATTAGTAAGAACAATTATATAATAAACAAGAAGGAAAAAAGTTTTATAAAATGTATAGAAAAATCAAAAATGTGAAAAGAAGAATAAATGACTAAATACTAGAAAATAGTCTACTTTAAATTTTAAAAAATTAAACTACTAAACTTATTGAATATTTTTTATTATAGATCTGTCCAAACAATGAATTAAAACATGAAATCATCTGTTATATATATGACTAAGTCGATGAATAAATAAATTTTTAAAAAGATGAAAACACTTAAAAAAGTGAAATTGAATAAAAACACAAATGTAATTTAAAAAAATGTTAAATAAAACAAAAACAAGAGCGATTATTAAATATCAAACAAATGTAATACATACTTAAAAAACAAAACTTTAACCCTTCTTTTCTTCCATATTTTTCATATTAAAAGCTGTTTCCTTTTGTTGCTAGTCTATGTACTTAGCTAAGGTTGAATCCCACCCATTGTCCAGCATGTCTCTCTGTGTGTTTTTCCTCTCAGGTGTGCAGCAGAATGCTTCCTGTAGAATAATAAGTCCCGGTGAGAAGCCTCTGCAGCAGTCCGAACCCCTCAACTCTCATCTCAAAACCAAGAAACTTCGCCAGGAGGACTCTGTCTTTGGTGGTTTCTTCATAATACTCACAGAAACATCTAACACAAAGCATTTATCACTCATTAATGTTGCTCTGAACCTTCCATTGTCCTTCCTTCTCTTTCTGTCTTATCTGTCCCAACCTGTCTTTCTTTCATTTCCCGCCTCTGTGAAGCCCCCTCAGTGGCCTCTCCCTCTGGACTGGTGAAGGAGGGAGTGTCGGCCTCCGTCCTGAGGAAAGCTGCTCAGAGGAAAGCCCCTGGTGCTGGTGGGCTGAAGGCTCCAGGTGCTGCCTCCCTGCCTGCTCACCGAGTCCTCCCCTCTGCCTGCCTCTTCGTCTTTCTGTCTGTTAAAGAGCCTCACATCGTCTTAGACATCTGCCTCTGTCTTTATCATTCCTCC